AAAAAAAAAAAAAAAAAAAAAAAAAAAAAAGGGGGAACCAAAGAGCTTGACTGCATGAGGAGGCACAAGGCACACAGACCTGCCTGCTAGGAAGAGGTCAGTGGACTGGGCCCTGGACTTGGTGATTTAACACTTAAGCTGTTCAAATAACCCCAGATTCCGTGTTCTTCGAGGGGCAGGGATTTGGATTCCTGGGGAAATGCTCCTGAGAGAGGGAGAACAAGTGACCCATCAGCAGTTGTTTTTTAAGATCATGTGGAAGTTCTGGTCCTGTCAATTGTCCTGGGACTTCTCCTAGTCCCCCAGCTCCAGCTGTGGGTGCCCTGGGGTGTCCACGACACAGCCTTCTCCTGCCATCTCCTGTCCTTGGTCCCATGGCTTCCTGGATCCTGTATCTTCCTTTTTCTTGGCGTATTCTGTTGTCTTTCTGGAGCGGGCCTCAAGTAAATTCTCAAGGATTTCCCGAGTAAACTTTATGAATTTATGCATGCCGGGAAACGTGCTTATTTTCTGTCACATCTGATTGATGGGTTGGCTGCGTATAGAATCGCAGGCTGAAAATTATTTCCTCTCAGAGTATTGAGACATTTTTCCATCCAGAATTGTTGATGAGGAGTATAGTACAGCCACGTTCTCACTTCTTTGTAGGTGAGTGCCTTTAGGACCGTCTTTTTAGCCCTCAATCTGCAATTTTATGAGGCTGCGTCTTCTGTGAGTTCATTTCATTCATTCAGCTGGGCAGTTCCCGGGGACTCTTAGAGTCAAAGCCTCTGTCTTTCTCTAGCTCTGGGAAATGATCTTCTGTTGTTATTTCTGTAATTCTTCCAATTTCCTTTTTTTTTCCCCTCTTTCTGAAGCTCTATATTAATAAGACGTTTGGCCTCCTAGGTTGTATTCCTGTCTCTCTGACTGACTTTTCTGTCTATATTTTTCATCTCTTTTTATCTTCCTGCCTCTGTTCTGACGGATTTCCTCAAATGTTATCTTCCAGTTCTATTCTACAGTGTTTGATTTCAGTGAGCATAATTTAGTCCCCAAGAGTGCTCTCTTGTTCCCTGCTGGTTCTTTTTTCTTAGCATTCTGTTCTTGTTTTATGGATGTAGTATTCTCTTGACATATTTGCGGTCCTCTGACTCATCCCTTCTCTCTTTCTTCTTGGGTCAGTTTTTCTGTTTATCTCATCTTTCTCTTTCATGCTATCCCTTCTTGGCATGTGCCGGGTGGTCCTTGGTTCCTGTGTAGACACAAAGGACTGCAGGGCTGGGTTTCCTGTGCTATGGTGAGACCAGTCTGCTTTCCAGTCAGGTCTCTGCCCTACAAGGCAGCTCAGTGTGAGAAGAGGTAGGGGGGTCACCTGGCAGAGCTCCCAGGCAGTGACTGGGGGGCCTCCCACTGCCAGAAGGTGGGGAGGTCAATTTGAGGTGCTACCTCTTTCCTAGAAGCCCTTCCTTTCCCCAGAGGGTTGCTTGAACTATCAGGTTTTGAGTAAATGCCCCCCATGCTCTGCAGAGGTGGACGGGTGGAGGGTCTGGCTCTGCCTGTTCCATCATCAGCCGCCTCCCCTTCTGTATTGGCCCAGGATTCTATTGAAATCTGTTGCTCATTGGTAACCTCTGCCCAGCTTCCTCCCTTTCTCATTGCTTTTGCAGAATTATCACTTCTTGTAGGTCTGCACTTTTGCTGTATCCACGATATGCTGGGCAGGACTGGAGGCAGGCACATGTGTGCTGGAATCCTGGGCATTTACCATATGTCAGCCTTCCTCAGATTCACTGCAGTGAATCAGTGAATTGCCTTCTTGTTAGCAAGTTAGTCTGGCATGTCCTTCAGTCCATCGTTCAACGTTCAAGCCCTCCTTCAAAATCTAGCTCCCTTCTCTCCCTTGGTTAGCCTTCCCAGATTCCATCTCCACCCCCTCCAGAGTCAGCCCCTCTTTCCTGCAACACTGTTGCCCTGGGCTGAGGTTTGTGTTCAGATACTTATCAAAGCTCATGATGTGGGGGTCCTTTTTGTGTCTGAGGGATGAGGAGTCTATGGGGGGCAGTGGTCAGGCCTCGCTGTGGTACCCCTGCTGGGCTTGCACATGACCAAGCACAGCAGCCTCCATGCAGAGTGTGGATACCAACCACAAGATACTCTGCTGTAGCTGGCATCTGCCACGCTTCTCTTTGAGACAGGTAGAGCCCTGGGAAATCAAGGCCGTTTCCTTATTTCCATGTAAGCCCCCCTGAGCTTTCTTGAACCAAAAGTGGCTTCACTTTGCTTTAGGGATTTTAGGTGGGTTCATCTTTTTTGTGACATCCCAAATCCACCTTCTGGGAACTTGTCAGATTGGGGTTAGAGGGGACACTGCAGCTTACCCGGACAAGGGAGCTGTTGTAAGATAACTGCTTTCGGACCAGCCGGTGGCTCACTTGGGAGAGCGCGGTGCTGATAACACCAAGGCCAAGGGCTCGGATCCGCATACTGGCCAGGAGCTAAAGAGAAAAAAACTACGAGAACTGCTTCTTATTTAGTTTTTGTTTTGCTCTTTTTGTCTTGTCTTCCTGCTGATACGATGATGCTCACATGTGTGTGGGGATGGTCTTGGCTTCATTCCCACAGACTGGTGATGTGGTTTCCAGACATCCCTAAGGACATCCAGTGGCTGCAGGGGGTGACCCCTCAGCTTTGTGCTCAAATGATGATGTATCTATTCCCTGCTTCCAGGTAAGTAATTTGGCTGTGGGTGTGTGGGCCGGATGGGCACTCCCTTCATCTGATCAGGCCTCATACAACATTCTAGAAATGTCTGACTGAACGCTGGGTAGGTGCAGGGGGTCCTGTCTTGTGGGAAGCAGCTGAGTCAATCAGAATCCCCAGTATGTCTGCTGACATCTGTAACCCAGACCCACCTGCCCAGGGGCCTGGGGAGCCTTCCTGCCAGGTATGTCCATTTGAGCCCAGTGTTGGTGGCAGAGAAGGAGAGAGCACAGTGATAAAGCAGGGGACAGGGCGAGGGTTAGGGAGTATCAGTATTGCTTTGCCTAAGAGAAGGAGTACAGGGTGGCCCCAGCACAGGGAGGGCGGTGGGGTGCAGAGCGAGTGAGAGGCAGGGCCAGCCAAGCCTTCTTGGTGTGGGCTGGAGGTATCTGCTAATGCAGATTCCCCGTCCTGTGACCTCACACTTCCTGATCACAGTCTCTGGGGGAAGAACCAGTGGTCTTCGTTGTTAACGGTGGCCCTGGTGATACCGCTACTTTCTGAATTCTGAAAATTCTGGTCCAGAGCAAGAAGGGCTTTGCTTCAGTTAGGAGGATTGGGCCTTACCCTAAGAATCACGGGCCTCAGTTTCCTCACCTGTCCAGCAGGGATGAGTCTCATCCCTTCACTGGGTGTCTGTGCGGCTTCCAGAGCCCTTAGCCAGTACTTGGCATGTGGTGCACACTCAGGAGGTGGGGCCTCTGTTGCTGCTGTTACTGTGATTGGCAGACACTGAAGGCGTTAAAAGCAGGGGAGCATGAAGGCCTGATTTGCACTGGGAAGATGATGGCAGTGGCCATGTGGAAGGTGGACTGTGGGGCCTGGCTGGCAACAGGCTCACTAGCGAGGACAAGGGGGGCCTGGTCTCAACACAATTGGTAGGATTGAGAGGCTTCCCTAGGCTCGAGGGACAGAAGGAGGGGTCAGTGGCAAGCCTGTCTGGACTGAACGGGTGGTTTGTTTGGAGGAAGCCAATAGGCCCCATCAGGGACTTGTTGATGGGCGATGCCTGTGGCTGTCCAGGGGGAGACGTCCAGGAGACTGGGAGGGCTATGGACTTGGAGGACCAGGATGGTGACATCAGCCCAGCACTGAGGGCTGGAGGAAGCTGTGGCTCTGGGCTGGACCACCCGTGGTGCCCAGAGCAGTGTGCTGAGTGGCCGGAAGCATCAGTTCATCCGCACTGGGACCAAAGACCTCAGAGCAGCAGGAGGGGCCACTGAGCTGGCTTTCTTCATTTGTTTCAGACCCCGAGTGTCAGCGAGCTGCAGGCAGGCGTCCCCACCCAGACTGGAACATAGCTGGACTCCCTACTCCCCCGGTGACCCAGATACACACCCCGTGGACTGTCCAGTGGGGGCCAAAGCTCAGGCCACCCAGCAGTCCATCTTCAAGTCCAGCCCGACCTACTTCTTGGGCAACAAAGTATCTGCTGGGGCAGAGGCATGCTCTGTAGACCCTACTTTTCCAATAGAAAAGAGTCACTGAATCATTTGAGGAGGCAAGTCTGGGAAATTCCCTTGAAGGGGCTGAGACTTTCAAATCTTTGTGCAGCTACCTCTGCACTGCTGTGTAATGACTCCATGCCTGTGACAGGCATGACCTCTGTGCTAAATTTATAGTTTACTGAAACCAAAGGCAATGGATTGGGTGTTATGAAAAGCTAGCAAGCTACATTTGGTTTGTGTGGAAGTCTAGCACTTAAGGAAATCTAATATTTAAGCATCATTTAACTCGGTTGGGAAATGGCCCCAGGAAGCAGCATGGAGAGTCCGTCACTGGACTCACAGCCCTGTCAAAGATTAGACGGTCCCAGTGCCAGGTTCCTGGAAAGGTCACCTTTTGGACAGGTGGGGGCTCGTGGCTGAGGGCTGGGCTGGCCTCAGTGTGGTGGTGGTGAAGGGGGCTGCAATTATTCCCCAAGAAGGGCACTGCCTGTCAGGTGGCATTAAAAATAACTTATTTACATTTTAGACCACCTTTTTGACCTAGCTAAAATATTTTATAAAGAGTTTTATATAAAAATATAAGAGAATTTTATTATCTATTGAATTATGTATTATGTGAATCAATGAGATGTTAATAGAATTAAGCCCTAAAGAAAAAAAAAAAAATCTAGTGTGCAGGGCAGTCGCCCTGGCCCCTGGGCAGGAGCCGAACACAACGGAAGGTCCCGCCTACTTTCCTGCAGCCCTCAACTTGAACTTGGCTTGTGTTCCCTGTGTTTCTGGTCTGCGTTCTTTTTTCTGTTTGCATCTTCCTGTTTTCTCCTCACCTTGCTTCTCTCTACTCCGCCAGCCTTGATAGAGAAAGCACTTGAGGAGAGAACCTACCTTTTCCCAGGTGTGGTAATCTGGTAGCAAGCTCAGCGTAAGATGAGTGAAGGTGAAATGCATGTTTTTTTTCTTATTTATGCATTTTAGTATAATATATACAACTGGAAAAAGAAACAACAATATGTTCCAACTCCTCAGTGTTGGCAAAGGCAGTTACCACTCTCACCTACATTGTGCAAGTATCCTGAAGTCAAAGAACTGGCAAGTTCAGGCTTTACTGAGAAGATGTACCTTTTAAAAGAAAATGTGGTTCCAGGGGCAAACTCTGTGTGAGCTGTTCTCTTGAGCTGCCATGAGATTGTGAACTCCACAAAAGCAGAGGCTACTTGTGAAAATCCGGAGTCCTCGCCTAGTGCACAGAAGTCCCCTCTGGGGCAGGAGTTCTGGATTCAGTCCTGGCTTTCCAGTTCTGGTAGTGCCCGCTTCCTAAGTGAGGTGAGGGCTGGTGAGTGGTGGGCTCCCCCACCCACCCAGGCACCAGATCCCCTTGCAGAGCTGGAGTGGGGGTGGCAGAGGCCACACCTGACACCCACCCAGACTCCTTGTAACACACCCTCCTCCTTCCCAAGCTTCTCAGCAGGCTTTGAATAGTATAAAAGGGCTGGAGGAGGTATTGTAGAACCTTTCTAGCACTTATGAGAGGTAAATTAACACCAATTGCTAAACATAGAAACTGGATAAATTTCAATATTCATTTAGAAATTAATTTTATGATGCTGTCCTAAGTATTAAAATACAGGTTATACTTAAATCATTCAAAGTTTGGCATGTTCACACATGTGCACAAAGTATTTGATAGATATTTACACACTGGGAGACACAATTATGGTCTGACTTTGGAGTTTTGGCAGATCTGGGTTCAAATTCTGGCAAGTTTCCCTACTAGCTTTTTTTGGGTGCGTGTGATCCGAACCCTCGGGCGGGAGCGCCGCTGCGCTTCCCAAGCGGCGCACTATCCAGTGCGCCACCGGGCCGGCCCGTCAGCAGGCTTTCTTCTGATGAACCACATCCTAGGTCATTAGCAAATAGAACTGCACTTGAACCAGTGTATTTCCATACAGACAGATGTATACACTGGCTTTACTATCATTACCAGGAAAGAAATATGTTAAATGGCTGATAGGATTACATGGGACTTATTTTCTTTCTGCTTTTTAAAATTATTCACCCTTCTTACAATGAGCATATGTTGTGTAATTTTTAAAAAATATGTACTAAGATAAGGAAGTTAAAAAGTGTAATATTTTAGAAATGGCCAAGGCTCCCCTCCCCACCTGTGCCTTAAGCACTACCCTGTCCTGCCCTCTCTGCTGGATCCCAGAAGGCACTCCCGCCCACCCCAGGCCTCTCCTCTTCTGCCATGACTCTGAAGTTTCTCATCAGCATATGAAAACATTGTGAGTTCCTCCCACCTCGTCCAATAAAGCCTTCCCTTTAATTTATGCTACATTTGGGCTTGGAATACTGCATTCAAGAATGATCGATGTCTAGTACATTTAATGTTAGGGAGCACCAGGCTTTATTTGGTAAACAGATGGCACAACATGGTACAGAGTATGAGCCCAATTTTGTTGAAAAATAAAATGTGGGCATATATATGTATATGTGTGGATATATAGAAATAAAACTGAAACAGTATATACCAAAGTGTTCACAGTCGTTATCATTACGCTGTTATTCATAACTGGATTTTATTTGTTGTGCTTATATGTGTTTTCCAGATTTCTATTGTGAACATGAAATACTTTCAGCATCAGAAAAATAGCTCAAAATAAATGTGATTTTTAAAATGCTTTCCCTTGTCTCTACATCCTCACCAAGGAGTGTGGTGTGCTCTCCTTCTCTCACAGCCAAGCTTCTTTAAAACTGTCCCCCTTCCGTGGGTTTATGGTCTCGCTCCCTGATGGCCCTGCCAGGCCAGGTGGCCTCCACGCTGCCAGGGACCACGTGCTTGTTCCTGATCTGTGTGGACCAGACCCTCTCAGAATCTCCCTCCTTCCTGTGGGACCCCAGACTTGCACGCTGCTCTGTCTCTGTCCTGGGCACCAGGCTCATCCCCGAGGCTCAAATGTGGCTGCTCTGCCGCGTGTGCACAGCTGCTTCTGGAAGGCCTCTCCCACTCTGAGGACACCCAGTCTCTGGTGCTACCCACTGGGCAGCCTTCAGCAGCACCTCAGCATCAATCCCCCAGCACAGAGCGCCTCAGTTCTGTCAACCCCCAAGCCACCTGAGCCAGGAACTCAGGGAGGTCCCCCACCCCACTCCGGCTGGCCCCAAACCTGCCTCCACTTAATGTCTCTGGAATCTAGCCCTCATCCCTGGCCTGCTGCTGTCCTGATCAAGCCCTGCACTTTCTACCTGGGCTGCTGCAACAGCTTCCTGCTGGAGACCCGTGGCCCGTTCTCAGCCTTGGGTGCATCTGCCCTCCTTGCTGCTGTGGGACCGATCTGACCAACACACCCCCGGGCTGGACCCAGCAGCCACCTTCCTGCGGAGGCTCCAGCCTCCCCCTGCTGTCCCACAGCCTCTTCCTCGGATCACCCTGCTTTCCACGCGGGCCTCAGCCTTGTGGAATGCCTCCCACGCACTCATCTCCACTCCTCAGACATCAGGTGCCGGGGAGATAAAGTGATCGGGACAAGCCCCTCACCTCAGGTGCTCACCCCTGGGGAGGGGCTGTTAGAGGGTGAGCAGGTCTAACACCATCTTGTGCCCCGCTCACCATGTGAGTGCCTGTTCAGCCTCATTCGTTTGTTCCACTGACCACTTACAGAGTAACCTTAGGGACAGCATAAGAGGAACGTAGGGCTCAGGGACTAGGGGACTTTTGCAACTCGTGGTGTCCGCTTGTCTGTGCATAAACTTCACAAGCCCCCTGCTTCATATGTCACAGGAGATTCATTTTTTCCTAAACTATTTCTTTGAAGTTATGCTGTATAAGTCTTTCCTACAAGCCAGAGAGAGCTTTCATCTGCTGCACACATCTGATTCTTCTCTGCAGGCAACTTTTCCCCATATGTAAGTTACCCTTTCAATAAAACTTTTTGCAAACTGTGTGAATTTGCCTGCCTCATCCTTCGGTCCAAAAGTTCCTTCCCAGTTTGGAGGGTATTATACTCTAACCCTCTCCCCACACAATGGCGAACAAGGGCTGAAGGCCCTGGGGAGCCCACGCTGTGGGTGTCCCAAACTAATAGGGACGTGACTCCAGTGGGAAGATCCAGCCTCCCCTCCCATGGGCAATGGGACTTGACATTTGATTTTATTAAGGAACCAGCACAGTCACTAAATGCATTTATACTTCCAATTGGAGCAGATCAGCACTTTGTAAACCAAGTTTTCTGGAATGCGAGTGTCCTTGCAGATGCTACTAGGTGATTTTATCCATTAGAATAGGCTGGGTTATGCTGCATTAACAAAACCCCCCAGGTTTATTTCTCACTCACACTACATGCCCATCAGGCTTGGCTGGGCTCTGTCTTAAGTTGTCCTCATTCCTGGTCCCAGTCTGATACTGTCCCATCACAGAGGGTCGCCAATTGCCATGGCGGGGTTTTCATCAAGAAGCAACACATCCCTCCTGCTCATGATTTTTTGACCAAATCCAGCTGCATGGACGGGGGTGGGGAAATGCAGTTCTACCTCTTGCCCTAAAAAGGAGCACAAGAAGGACTGGGGAACAGCACCGCCAAAGGCCACTGAAGCCACAGAAGCAAAAACCAAAACATCTCTGTGACCCAATAAATTCAGGCAATACTAGGTTAAAGAAAGTTAAACAGGCAGGGGCACTGCATGACTGCCCAGAGCCTGTAATATGTTACAATATATACACTGCAACAGTCAGCATCTGTTTAAGGCTAAAGCATGTGACTGTGTTCCTCACGTGCCCTCTGCCATCCTGGCCCAGGGCCTTTCACAGAAGAGGCTCTCAAATATTTGGCTATGACTTGTTGCAATCTGCGGGTGGGAAGGAGGAATTTGTCACCTTCCATTTCTCTACAACATAATGATGGTGGCATCGACTATTTACTCAGCCAGGCACTGTTCTGAGTGCCAAGAATATAGCAATGACCAAGTCAGGACAGCCTTGTAGGCATCCTGGAAGGCTTGGTGGCCTGGTAGTGGGAAGATTACTCAACACCTCTTGTCTTCCCTCCTGGGTCCCCTCCCAGCTCTCGCCTGTCTTTGGGGAAGGGTAGCTTCTGCTCAGAGCAGAAGCTGAGCATTGCCTCCATCCCCCCTGGTCTGGGTAGGAGAGCAGTAACTCAGCAGATATTCACCAAACCCGTGCATAGTGCCAGGCACTGCACTAGGGTCTGGGTTCTGTGAGTGAACCAGACAGATCAGGTCCCCATCTTCCTGGGGTTAATGTTGTAGCTGGGAAGACAGACACACAGGTCAACCTGCTGGGGGTACAATGAAGGAAGGGCAGGGACCTGCAAGGGGAATGTGGACTTTGAATATTTAGCCCAGGGATGCTGGAGGCCCAGGGTGCTGCAATTTAAATGGAAAAGGGTGTCAGGGTCTCTGGGAGGGAAAAAGTGGGGAGAAGAAAAGGACGTGCAATGTTTCTGCTATCCCGAGGGAGTGGTAACATAACTTCATATGATACTAAAAATTACTCTTTTCTCATTCTCTGTTGTCTCATTTGTTTCTTTCATTGCACTTATCACAATGTGTGACTACTAGTGATTATATAGTGTTTTTCTGAGGTGGGGTAGTTTTTTCTGCCACCACCAAAAGCCCATGGCTGTCTTGTCACCAATGTGACTGGCCCCCATCCAGATGGCTCTCACCCATACTAACTGGTTGCAGTTGAATGAATAACGGTTTTGATGTTTAGTCTGGTCTGTTGGAGTCCGGTGCAGAAACTGAGTAGAAAACAATGACCTCCTGTCACTTTTATTTAACTTTACACTCCGTCTCATACATACGCCCTTTTCATCCAACCCTGTGAAGTAGATACGACCATCATCTACAACGGGGAAACTGAGCCCTTGGGGTTCCAATGACTGAGGGGTCCATGCGACCACGGTAGGAAGGAGCCAGGGCACCAGTCCGGTTTGAGTTCCAGATGCTGATGAGATAGACCGCAGACCGAGCCTCGGGACTTCACTGGCGTGTGGGGACAGGCACAGCACCCACGGGGCCAGCATGCCAGGACGGATGGCAGAGAGACCTGTGCGATGCCCTGCAGCACCCGCCAGCGGGCCTTACTCCCAGGTACCTTGGACTCCTGGCTCGGAACAGATCCTCACGCACACCCGCCCTCCACGTGCCCTCCGTGCGCCAGCAGCTTCGCGGGCGTCAGTGGAAGCTCTGCGCTTGCGCCCTTTCGGGTCACAGGGCTTCCGGCGTCCGTGTGAACATCCGGGTCACAGGCTGATAAGGGCCAATGAGCGGTGGGATCATAAATTAGGAGGCGGGGAGAGGGCGGGGCATCATGGCCGCCCCCGAATGCTCTGCGTCCGGGGGCTTGTGGGAGTCGCACCGACCAGCAGCACCGCCACCGCAGACTCGCCTTCTGCCCTCAGCAGCCGAGCCTTGGTCGAGCCCGGGCAGCTCTGCTAGGCGGCGGCTGGAGAGGGAACTATGGGGACGGTGCACGCCCGGGTAAGAGGCCCAGCGACCCTCGGGCTGCGTGACCTCTGGGCGGGCGAGGCGGGCGGGCGCCGCGGGGAGGCGCTCTCGTGGCTGCGCCCGGGGTTCCCGTGGTCAGAGGACACCAAGGGCGGCGCGGGCCGGGTGGAGAGGCAGCTAAGATGTCACCTCGGGCCAGCGAATCTCGCAGACCTCCGAGCGGGACACCGCTGCTCAGAGGAGGCACCTGACTTGCTTAAGGCCGATGAGTGTCCCCAGAAAGGACGAGCTGACTTTCCGGGATGTCCTCGACGGCAGTGAATAGGTTCTTTTTCTCCATGACTTGACTTCTCTACCTTCAGTCATTTCGGGCGTCTCCTCTCTCTGGTGGTCACCTCCTCCCGTCTGTCCCCGCTCAGCCCCTGCGGGAGTCATTGTGGACTTCTGACACGGAGAACCCCTTGACGTCCCTAACGCAGACCTACCCACGCGTCGTCTTTTCTCCTGCTTTCCCGTCTGAAAACGGAGCCTCTCAGTGCCCTCAGTCCTCCTGCCAAGGTGGACGTGGTAACCCCTCACCAGGCTGTTGGGAGAATAAAATAAATAATGCAGAGAAAGGGCTTGCTTGGCCCGTACCAACTGCTTGCCAAACTGCTCTCCATTATCGCAATTTTAACTGAGGGCCAGTCAATGAGTTATTTGTCCAAGGTCACACAGGTAGAGCCTCAGAATGTCACAAAGCTCAGACTTCCTGAGTCCCGGGCACAACAGTACTTTTCTCCTACAACGTGGGTTGTTTCACTTGCCCTGCCCGGAAGTTTTCAGTACTTCCCCATTATCTTCCAAAAGAATTTAGCACGGACGTCTCAGCCTGGCCTCTAGAGTTGAACTGAACTCCCCTTTACGTATCTCTCATCCGAATCAAGCATCATTGCTCTTCTGAGGCTCTTTGGGGTGTTGTCCACTCATTTCCCCCTTCCATCCCCCGCTTTAGCTGTAAGAATAGTCTCATCTTTTTTTTTTTTTTTTTTTCTCTTTTTTTGGCGGCTGGCTGGTACCAGGATCCAAACCCTTGACCTTGGTGTTTTCATCTTTTAGTACTCAGTTCAAGTCACTTCCTGTAGAACCTCTTCTTTATCTCCCCCTCATTTGGATCTGCTACCTTCCTTGGCATTTTTCCTCTGGTGCCATTTATATTGTCTTGTTTTAGCTCTGTTTGCATTTTCGTCTTATCCTATTAGATTCTAAGTTTCTAGATGTTACAGTAGGAACCGCATCTTACTTGGCTTGCATTCTTCACCCATCTTGGGGGAAAAAAAGTAAGCATTCATTCATTCATTCAACTAATATTTATTGATGGCTTACTATGCCTGGCACTGTCAAAGGTGTTAGGGATACAGAAAAAACTGTTTTTATGGAGCTCCTTTGATGCTAAAATTGCTGCTCCTTTGATTAATGTATTGACAAAAAGTGTTTTCAGTTCTCTAATTTGATCTTACATCTCACTAGCCAGTGTTTTTTGGACTTTTTGATCAGAACTCACAGTAAGAAAACATTTGACATTTGCCACCTAGTATTCTTATGCTTCTGGGAAACAAAAGTTTTGTGAAACAATATTTATCATTAATATCTATTATGTATTATTATATTTTCTACTTCATTCTAGTCTATATATCATGGTAAAGAAGCCGTTCATAACTCATTAAATTTATTTCAGCTCCTGTCTCCACTGCCTTGCATAGTGCCTGCAACATGGTGCTCAAAAAAACTTGTTTACTGATAGGTAGACTGAGCTGCTTGAAGGTTAAAGGCTAGGTCCAAATATTTTTTCTAATTTATTTTACCAAATACTTATCCTCTGCCTGTTCTTCCAGACACTTGAATGTAAATTCTGTGAGGGTCTTGATAGTGCTTACCACATAGCAGGGTCTTAATAATATTTGGTGATCGAATGAATCTCTACTAATAGAACAGTTAATTTAGGACATGAAGCTTTGCTGTAACTGTGAAATCTCAAAGACATCATTTCTTGAATTTAAAGTCTATATTCCAGATTAAGGAATGTATGTGGGAGTGGTAGGTCTTTGGTAAACCTTGTTTCATACTTTGAGATTTTAGGAACTGTAATGGAATTTTTTAGCATAATGGATGGAATATAAACTTTGTGCCCAGACAAAGCATATGTGTTAAGCATTTAGATTAAGAAGAATGAATACGTGTACATATTGTTAATTTGCTTATATTTTTGAGAAACGCAATAATGATCAGTTTTTAAACTATTTCACAACAAAATGGAAGGATAATAATATGAAATTGTATGTTCTTTGCCCAGCATTATCTTCCTTTTTTTTTTTTTTTTCTGCCTTATATAAAATTCAGCATCAACCACAAGGACTTGGTCTTGTTCACTGCTGTGAGCCCAGTGCTCAGCACACAGTAGGCACTCAGTACATATTTATTAAATGAAAAAGAAAAAAAAAATCATTTTCTCATTATTCCACAAGTATTTATTGAGTATCTGTTGTGCCAGGGCAGATAAAAATTTTAAAAGGATGGGTAACTGAGGGTCACAGACTTCTAACATCAAGAGGTGTCCCCGTGAAGGAAGGACTAATTCTGCCTGAAAAAGCCAGGAATGGCTCACAGGAAAGATAATATTTAAGGTGGATCTTTAAGCAACACAAGGGAAAGTTATTCTGGAATAGCGACAAGGTGTGCAAAAGCTGGAATGTGAGGTGGGCGGGTGGTGGAGATGGAAACTGGAGTAGCAGATGCAGGCCGTATGGTGGAGTTTTTTGTGTATTCTGGTAAGGAATTTAGTTGGATTCTATCCCTATAGGTACTTTTGAGGACCAGCACAGTCTTAGGTTAGGAATGGGGAAGGGGCCACCATACTGCCAGGTCAGTTACCTTTCCAGAGAACCAGTGACAGTGGGGAAGATGTACTGACAAGAGACTGTTGAGTATTCCAGGGAAAGGGTGATAGTGGCCCCAGAGTCGCTATTGCTCCACATATGCAGATGTCAAACACTTATACGCACTTTGAAAGTGCCTATTTATATAGAATTAGTGAAGCAAGAAAATAGCTAGGTATTAGCACAGTTTTCCCCATACTTGCCTATTTGTAACAATCGCCTGGTGCTGCACTAGACCTTCTGAATCTGTCTGTATGGGGTGCATGGGAATCCCTATGGTTGAGCAAGTGTCCAGTGACTTATGGTCAAGCAAACATAGGAACAAATAAGAAGTGAACTAATAATATATTATATGTTATATATATAAGTATATGTAATATGATATATATGTAAATATATATGATATTTAATATTATGTGAATGTTACTGTATGTATTTATTATGTCTTCCCAGAAATACTAAATCAAGCACAGCCTGTGGAATGCTTATTCAGAAGATGCTTTAATGTTTTGAGATAAGGTCAATTCATATTGTGAAAAGTGACAGCTTTCTGGCCCATGTTATGAGCATCTGCAGTTCCTTTTAATGTGAATGAGACTTTGTGAAATGAAAAAATTTATCAGGATCCAAGCAAAATGTTTTCTTAGTAATTTGCTTTGTCAATGTAGCTATCCTAAAGTGTATGCAATTTCAATTCTAAAAGTTAGGATGTCTTTGTAGCCATCTTATTTTTTAATTATTTTTTTCCCCTTCAGATGAGCCTCAGGTATACAGAGTTACATTAAGTCATAATCCTTGGTTCATGAAACAGCCATCATGGGTTCTTACAGGACCCTTTTAGTTAAATAATTTTATTTTTGTTTTATTTATTAATAGTACAGTGAACACCTATGAGTTAAACACAAATCCAAGCACTTGCACATTGACAGTAGCTTCCACCTGTCTTTATATTCCCCATTCCACATCCTGGCCCTCTGCCTTCGCATACTGCAGGGAACAGCTGTACTGAATTTTCTGGAGACTACCTAAAGACAAAACTCAAAGCTTTTTATTTGTTGTTGTTGTTTTTAGTGTTACAAGTTCATTTGTCTGTGGCTTCTCCCTCCCTTTCAGAGTTTGGAGCCTCTTCCATCAAGTGGACCTGATTTTGGAGCATTAGGAGAAGAAGCTGAATTTGTTGAAGTTGAACCTGAAGCTAAACAGGAAATTCTTGAAAACAAAGATGTGAGTTTTCTTTTTTTTTTTTTGGCACCTGGCTGGAGTTTTCTATTGAAGGTCTTGATATAATTGTTACTAGAAACGTTCACTTCCATAAACCTCTAGGGAGATATAAATGAATTAACCTGTCTCAGTGCCTTTGTCAAAGAAAAGTTTGTAACCAACTACGACCAGAAAGACTGGTGACTTGTAGAATAGTAGTTTCTAATTTAGAGAAGCAGTTTTTCCTTGGCAGTTATTTATGTGGGAAGTTTAGGCAAACACATTTTTGTATTTATGTTATTAGAAAAACCAAAAGTATTTCAAGGACAATCTTAAACTATGTTTAAGTTTATACTTCTGTACTCCTGGAAAAAAGACCCTGAGTCTCAAATGAAACTTCATAAACCTTTTTGCCTTCGAAATTCGAATATAGTTTTTCAGCTCTTGGAGAGTTTACTTTCCTTTGAGGAGACTGGTAGAGGAGGGGCTCTTTATCATGCTGTGTTGAAATTTATGCAAGAGCTTTAGCAAGATGCACACAGTTATTAAGTCAGGGGTCACAGCCAGCATTCGTCTGCAGGTCAGTGCTCAGGGAGTGTGTTGGGAAGGACAGAAGGTGGCCTCTGTGGCCTGCCTGGGTTTAGGGCTGATGTGGTCCTGGGTCGTCTGGCTGGAAGTATGGACTTAGCAAAGGGAAAGTTCAAGTTACTATTTTTTGTGTTTTTTTCCAAGTGACAAGTTTTTTGAAAAGGTGTGCAAAGTAAGAATAAATTCCTAAAGTAAGAAGTGTGGGGCCTCCTGGGATCACGTCTGGAGAGTGGCCAGTATTCTACCAGCTTCAGAAACGGGAGGGAAAGCAAGTCTGGCAGAGGTGCCCATTCCATTCCCAGCTTGCTCAGTAGCTGGCGATTGGAAGACAGTCTGCAACAGCGTAGAAAAAAGTGAGGGCTATTAAACTTGAAAAAAACCTTGGAATTAATTTTGTATATTCGTCTTTAGTCTTGATAACTAATCCCTTGCCTTGTGTCATAAAAAATAATCAGTGTCCCTTTGTCACGTTTAGGTGGTTGTTCAACATGTTCATTTTGATGGACTTGGAAGGACTAAAGATGATATCATCATTTGTGAAATTGGAGATGTTTTTAAGGCTAAAAACCTCATTGAAGTAAGTGTGATCTCTATTTGGCATTCTTTTCCAGTCCCTTCTGAAAACCTGTAACTCTTCCCATCTCTTCAACCTACTAAGCACCCCACCCCGAGCCTGGTGTAGACCTGTCTCCTACCCCAGAGGAGCGCTGGTCCCTGGAAGCTGAACCCCCCTGGTTCCTGGGTGCCTCCCACAATCTGACATGTAATTGCACTTGCCTCACCTCCTGTCTCTCTTGTCCTGGAGGAAGAAGTGTCTGTCTTCTTGTCCAAGGCCAGTCCATCCTGTGTTCTTCATAACTCCCCCAGCATCGTAATGGGAGCTGATGTATTTGTCCCCTTCCCAGGCACCATGCTGAGCATTCTGCTGCGTTCTCTCCTTTGGGGCCCTCGCTGACCCTATGGAGAGAGGGGGACTTGTCTGTTACCCACTCCCCATCTCCTGGGCCTTGCTCTGTCTACGGAGCAGTCTCTTTCCTGGGCTGCACCCTCTTTCCCCTCCCCTCTGTGGGTTCCTTCTGTCTTGGGGCCACACTGAACAAGCAGAAGTCACCAGCAACTTCCTTGTGGCCGGATCCAGCTGGCCCCTTTCAGTACTCATTGCCCTTGACCTTTTAGCAGTGTTTGGCACTGCGGACCATTCCCACTTAAAATAAAAAATTTATGGTTTTAAAAGATTAAAGTAAAAAAAGTATAAAAAATCGGATGGTACAGAAGGGTATTGAAATGGAATATACACATTTCCCTCCCCTGGCCAATTCCAGTCCACTTTCCAGTGGTAACATGGCTAACAGTTTCTTCTGCATCCTTCCAGATATGTTGTGCACGTGTGTAAACACATATATCCTTTAAACAAAAACCTTATTTTCCACATTTTTATTCTGCAACTTTCTTTTTTGACATCGTAAATTATGGAGATCTTTTCACATGAGCACATACTGATCTGTTGGCTGCATGATACCTCTGTGTGGTACCACTGTGTGGACTTCCTGTCATTTATTGTAAACGTTTCCCTTTTGATGGACATTTAAATTAATTGAGTGTTTTGCTCTTACAAACAATGATGTTTTCAACGTGTTCATGTATCTTTGTGTAAATATGACAGTATATCCACAGAATAAATTCCTAGAAGTGGGTTGACTAGGTCAAAGGGTATGTGCTTTATCATAGTAACAGATGTTGCCATATTGCTCTCCAAAGAAACCCACCATTCCACACTCCTGCAGCAGTGTATGAGAGGGTCTGCTCCCCCAAATTGGGTGTTCTCACATTTTTTAATTCTTGCCATCCTGTCAGGAGAAAAATACTCTCTCATTATTTTAATTTGCACTTATTTAGTTATGAATGAGATCAAGCATTTTATACTGCTTATTAGCCATTTGTGAATTACCTGTTGGTGTTTTCTGCTTTCCATTGCATTGTTGGGCTTTTGTTAATTTATAAGAGCTCTTGCTATATTACAGAAATGATCATGTTGTCACTTATGTGGAATATATTTTCAGTGCTTTGTTATTTACCTTTTGAATGTTTCTCTACCTCCCCTTCACATTTTCTCTTCCCTTGGTTTCTGTGAATCCCATTCTCCTGGGTTGCTTTCCATCTCTCATCACATTCATTTTTAGGCTCCATTGTCAGCTTTTTCCCCCTGTGACCATCCTTAAAGGTTGCTTTTCTGCAAGAATCACTCTTCTGGAGATCTCATCCACATCCCTGGTTTCAAGTACAGCCTAAATGTGGAGGGCTCCCCACGCTCTGTTTCTAGCCAGTTACTCTTTGTTGAGCTCTAGCCCTGAATATGCAACTGCCCACTAAACATTTCCTTGTGGAATTCCATAATCTCCAACTCCATGTGGCTAAAATCTGAAGTCATTGTTTTTTTCCACCCCCTGCCCTGCCTGTCTTTCCATCTCTATTCCTGACCTCTCTAATGGCACCAACCCCTATCCTAACCTTTTCAGCTAAGCCCAGAGCTGAAAATTTTCACAGCCTCTTCTTTCTCCAGTACTCCAGTAGTGACAGTGTCTTCCAGCTCCTGCCCGTGAACCATCTAGAATACGTCCTCCCCTCCAGCACCATGGCCCGTGCTGGACCAGCCTCCATCCCTGCTGCCGGGGCTGCTGCAGGAGCCCCGCATGCTTCCCTCATTTCTAGTCTTCTTCCCTTCTGAGCAAAACTCCATATTCATCCACCTGATCAGCTCTTTCTTATAAGGAAATTTGATCCTGTCTCTCCTCTGCTGAAAATTCTGAAGTAACTCCCTTTTACCTGCAGGATGACATCTAAACTTTGCTAGTGACACAAGGTCCTTTCCTACTCTGCTTCCTGAGCACCTTTTCTGCCTTATCCTTCTACTTGTCCTTCTAAGAAGAATGGACTCCTGGCATCAGAAAAGACTGCTATTGGGCTGGCTGGTTAGCTTACTCGGTTAGCGCATGGTGCTGGTGACACTAAGGTCAAGGGTTCAGATCCCCGTACAGGCCAGCTACCAAAACAAAAAAAAAAAAAAAAGAAGGAAAGGATTGCTGTTGATGTTGAAGAGAGGGAAAAAAGTGAACAGTGGTTAGAAATGGTTAGGAAGTTGAAACAACATAAAAAGGCACGCGTGCACACACGGACACACACATGCACAGACGTCTCCCCTTCACCAAACATAATCACTATTCACACTTGATTATGATTCCTTTTGGGATAACATGCTAGGCTGTGTATTGTGTGTGTATGTATCTTAATTAATTTTCTTGTTTATACAGAAGGGATTATGTTGTGCACGCTCTTTATGCTCTAGGCTTGGTTTTACATTTCTGAATGGGTTGTTTGGTTGCCCATAGTGCTTTTTCCATTCTCTCATGGCTGGTTTTGGTAGTGCTCTCTTCTCAGTGATCAGCTACTTAGTGCCGAATGGTAAACCGCTAGCCTGGCCACGTAGCCACCTTTTGTTTCTGTATCTTAGAAGAATACATTCTCTTTGTTTTTTTCCCGTTTTACAGGTAATGCGGAAATCTCATGAAGCCCGTGAAAAATTGCTTCGTCTAGGAATTTTTAGACATGTGGATGTTTTGATTGATACATGTCAAGGTACATATTGTGACATAGTTATCTTTATGATTCTCTTTCCACCATCCATCCTCCAGGATCACAGAAAGGCTATTCGTGTGGCCAGATATACATAGCACCTAAAGGTTTATCAAGCAGATAGGTCGTGGTAGTTAACAGTCTCAGGAAGAACTGGATTTTTGTATCAGGCTGAGGGAGGAATGGTGCACTTGGAAAATATTGTCATCTGAACCCCTGGACTACACCAGGGTTCTGAGAATGATTCCGAAGGAAGGAGATAGGCTTCATTCAGCATGTCCCAGCCCAGCAGCTATCTGAAAGCACTCTTGGCAGAACCCGTCTAAACGTGTACTTTAAAAAGAGGAGGGAACCAGATTTCTGTTTTAGTTTTAGCTCATTTTCTTATTTGCTTTGTGATATTGGGCAAGTCTCTCAGTTTAGTCAACATTCATTCTTTTACTCATGGGCACCTGCTAGGAGTCAGGCCCTACGCAGGTACCAGGGAGAGGTGCTGCAGCATGCAAGACACAGTGTCCTCCTTCAGAAGCTTTTGGTCAAGTGGGGCAGGGCTCGGGGACAAACGTGATGATAGCTCAGGTGACAGGTTTTGCTGTAAGGGGTCTAAAGAGGGAAACTTAGAATTTCCTAGAAGGGGTGATCCATAAGCTGGGCCCAAAAGATGCATATGAGTTAGTCTGGGGAGAAGAGGGTAGTGAGGTGAGGGATGAAGAATGTTCTAGGTTGAGGGATAGCATTTAACAGGCCCAGTGGCCAGAGAAGGGATGGTTCATTGGGTGGACTGCAAGTGTTTGGTAGAGCCAGAATGCAGATTTTGGGGAATAAGAGTGATGAGAGAAAAGGTACAAAAGTAATCAGGAGACCACATTATGAGGACCTAGTATGTCATGGTAGATTTTGGACTTTATTCTGAATTCAGCAGACTTCCATTGACAGTAAATATTTAGATTGAATCAGTGAACAAGTAAACTCTTTCGAATTGAATGGGGGATAATTTCGAGAAGACATAAATAAGACAATATATGAAAATGCAAAAATATAAAGTGCTAGTATGATCTAAGGGCATTTTTATTATTTGGAATATAGTTTCAGCCAAAACTAACAAGAGACCCAAATTAACAGTGGCTCAGACAAAAGAGAAGTCTTCTCCACACGTTTGGGAGACTGTCAATGGCTTTTGGGTGGTTCTGCTCCTTGAGGTCACTTCAGCTGTTGTGGTTTTCCCATGTTGCCCTTGTCTCTTCATCATACCTAGGATCCCCTGATCCCTCTGATGGCTGAGCACCATGCCCTCATTCCAGCATCGGGTAGTATGAATGGATGGGCCTCACCCTTTAAGCACCTGTCCCAGGTGTTGTACACAGCACTTACCTTTCATGCCATTGGCCAGGACTTAGTCACATGGCCACACCTATGTGCAAGGGAGGCTGGGAAATAAAGTCTGAGTGGCCAAGCACTCAGCTAAAAAATGGGGGATTCAGTTATGATTAGAACAGTGGTTCTCAAAGTGTGATCTGAGGTCTGCTTTTTGCGGGGGGTGGGGGGGCGGCTGGCTGGTATGGGGGTCAAACCCATGACCTTGTTGTTACCAGCACCGTGCTCTCCCAAGTGAGCTAACTGGTCAGACCACTCAAAGTGTGGTCTGGGAACAGCAGTACTGCTCTCACCTGGGAACTTGTTAGAAATAGATATTTGACTGAAGCAGAAACTTCAGGGGTGGGGGCAATGATCTGTGTCATAGTGAGCCCTCCAGGAGATTCTGATGCATGTTGAAGTTTGGGAACCACAGGAGTGGTAAAAGGGAAGAGATCTGGGGAGACAACCGTTCTGTAACCTTCAGAGTGATAGTAATATAGTCAGGACGAGATACCTTCTGAGAAATGTGTTGTTAGGCGATTTTATCATTGTGCAAACATCATAGAGTGTGTTTACACAAACCTAGGTGGTATAGCCTTCTGCACACCTAGGCTATATGGTATAGCCATTATAATCTTATGGGACCACCATCATATATGTGGTCCATTTTTGACCAAAGCGTTGTTATGTGGTGCATGACTGAGCAGTACCTGTTTAGCAGCAAGTGTTTATGTGCACAGTCCGATCAAATCCTCACAAAAACTGGTGAAGTGTCGGTATTATATTTTTTTAAGTTTTATTTTATTTTTAATTGATACATAATTGTACATATTTATTGGGTACAATGTGATGTTTCAATACATGTAATATAGTGTAATGATCAAATCAGGGTAATTGACATACGTCAGCACAAACATTTATTGTTTCTTTGTGGTGAGAACATTCACAATTTTTTAGCTATTTTGAAATATACAATACATTATTGCTAATTATAGACACACTACTGTTCAGTAGAACAGTAGAACCTCATCCTCCTATGGAACTGTAACTGTACCTGATGACCAACTTCTCCCTTGCCTTACCCTACCCCATCCTCTGGTAACCACTGTTCTCTCTGCTTCCATGAGATTTCATGTATGAGTGAGATCGTGCAGTATTTGTCTCTCTATGTCTGGCTCATTTCACTTAACATAATATCCTCCAGTTCATCCATGTTGTTGCAAGTGGCAGACAGGATTTCATTCTTTTTTAAGGCTGAATAGTATTCCATTGTGTATATGTACCACATTTTCTTGATCCATTCTTCCGCTGATGGACACTTAGGTTGATTCCATGTCTTGGCTATTGTGACTAGTGCTGCAGTAAACATGGTAGTACAGCTATCTCTTGACATACTGATTTCATTTCTTTTGGGTGTATACCCAGTAGTGGGATTGCTGGATCTTTAAATATTTTTCAGCTAATGAAATCAGGGCTCAGAGGTTTAAGTATCTTGTCCAAAGTCAGACAAGTGAGTGATACAATTCTAGGGCCCCAGCCCTGATCCATTACCCAGGGATGCTCTTCTCGGTGGCGAGTTTTGTTGGTGGCATTTGGTTTCAGCTCTTTTCTCTCCCTGGTATACACATGACCTTGTACATGGTCAGCTGGCCCACCTCTGACAGTGGTTCTCTACTCTGGCTGCCCATTAGCATTAAGTAGGAGCTTAGAATGGTTTAGGGCAGTGAAACTAATTCTGTATTATACTGCAGTGGTGGACACATGTCATTATACATTTGTCAAGACCCATAGAATGGACAACACCAAGAGTGAACTCTAATAAAAACTGTGGCCTTGACTTGATAATAGTGTAAGTGTTGGCTTATCAGTTGTAGCAAATGTCCCGCACAAATGTGAGGAGTTAGTAGTGGGAGGAAATGTGCGTCGGGGAGGGGGAGGGGTTTTTTGAGAACTGTGCTCTCTGCTTTATCTTTCTGTACACCTAAAACTGCTCTAAAAAATAAAGTCTCGTTAATTTAAAAAAGGGTGGGGAGTGCTGGCCAGTTAGCTTACTTGGTTAGCATGTGGTGCTGATAACACCAAGGTCGTCCCTGTACTGGCCAGCAGCCAAAACAAAACAAACAAAAACAAAAACAAACAAAAAAAAGAAATGGTGCCAGGGCTCTGTTCTAGACCTGCTGAACCTCAATATGTGGGAGCCAGTGCCTGGGCATCAGTAACTTTTGACAGCTGCCCAGATGCATCTGGACATCCAGCCAGGTTTGAGCTTCTCTGCTCTGTGCAGTGCGTGGAGTTGTCCTTCCTTGCTGTGAGAGGCCCCGGGCCCCTGCAGAGCGCAGTCCGCCTCGAAAAAGGCACAGAGCCAAGGGGTCATGAGGCAGCTGCACTGATCACATCCTGGCTGGACCGAGGACAACAGTACCTCTTACATTGATAATTTGATAAACAATATCGTGTTTATTGTATCTCTTCCAGGTTTACTAAAATCCCTATTGCCGCGTGTACTCCATGGCTTAATGTCAGTTGAATCGAGGCTCCGAATATTTTTAAGGACCTCCCTAGTAGGAGAATAGATTCCTTTAGCAAATATTGTTTGTGTAAGCAAATAATGCTGCTTATATTTATCTGCTGCAGCAAAGGTTGACTGTTTTTTGATATATTCTACCACAGGAACTAGAAACAGGTTTTTTGGTGTAGAAGTGTATTTTGCTTTTGTGTGGGAGTGTTCTTAAAGATGGTACATTTTCCTAAGGAGATTGTAAAATAAAATGAACTTTCAGATTGCTTTTTGTCTTTTTTGGCAAAGGAACCCCAAATAAAATGACATTTCTAACTGTCTCGTTGTTTAATGTGTTTAATTTACTTAGGTGATGATGCGTTACCAAACGGGTTAGATGTCACCTTTGAAGTCACTGAACTAAGGAGGTTAACGGGCAGCTATAACACCATGGTTGGGAACAACGAAGGCAGTATGGTATGCTGCAGCATTTTTTCTTTTTCGTACTGGAACTTTGAATTATGATCTTTTAAAATACGCAATCTAAAATTGATAATAGCTTCAAAACTCTTTTTCATTTCATGTACCTTAATCTGTTGTTATTGGTGGTTTCTCTTTAATCTCCCTAGAAATGATTATAATGTGTTATGAGTTGTTTGATAACAATATTAACATCAGTCATTAGGAATGATTTGGGGAATGTTCATATCAACAATCTTGTTCAGGTTCACAGCTTGTCCCTTGTGTTCACCAGGTTTGCACATAGGATGTGTGCACTGGCAAAGACAGGTTTTATTTTATTTATTATTTTTTTATAAGATGACCAGTAAGGGGATCTTAACCCTTGACTTGGTGTTGTCAGCACCACGCTCACCCAGTGAGTGATTCGGCCATCCCTATATGGGGCTCCGAACCCGTGGCCGTGGTCTCATCAGCACCACATTCTCCCGAGTGAGCCATGGGCCGGCCCCCAAAAGCAGGTTTTAAAGAGTGAAAGCAATGGCCAGTGACAGGCCAGATCTTTAGTCTACATTTTTCTTCTGTTTTTACAAAAGCCCCGCAGCTAGCATCGTCTTTATTGAAGGTTGTCATTCCTTCCATTTAGACGACTGCTATGTTTTTCCCTCCTAGGTCCTTGGCCTCAAACTCCCTAATCTTCTAGGACGTGCAGAAAAGGTGACTTTTCAGTTTTCCTATGGAACAAAAGAAACTTCGTATGGCTTGTCCTTCTTCAAACCACAGCCCGGAAACTTCGAAAGAAAGTAGGAAGCCAAGCAGATCATTTTGTACAGTGGCCTGGTTTAAAAGTTAAAATAGATGGTTTGTTTGTGAAAAGAAACTTGACAGAATCAGCTGCCACTTCTGTAGTGTGACAACACGATGTAGATTTCCTCCTGAAGATGAATCCCCCAAGTGTAGTTTTAAATCTGTTGATTTAAATGTGTACAAGTTCTAATCACTGTTTCAGCTTCTAAAGCTCTATCCTGTTGTCTCCTAGTTTCTCTGTAAACTTATATAAAGTTACTGGACAGTTTCCTTGGAGCTCACTGCGGGAGACAGACAGAGGAATGTCAGCCGAGTATAGCGTAAGTGGCCTCTGGTCATTGTCTTTGTCGACTCGGGTGAAAGCAAAGTGCCCTTTCGTTAATTCCCAGAGACAGCCAGAGGGAGGCAAGGGGAGGCCAAACCCTTTGCGGGTCTCATGGGGCTGCCGTGGAGATGAATAAGCAGATAACGCTCCCAGCAGAGTGCTTGGCACTTCTCCGGCACCTGAGGTGCGTTAGCTGCTCATGCTCTGATCCTCGTGGGCCAAAGTTGTGAAAATGCAGCACATGGAGGTAGACCAGGTGGGCTGCAGGTTCAGGACATAGACATGAGCTTTGCGAGCATTTGCATTTCTGCTTTTTCTCCAGGTGGCAGCCTTTCCTCGTCTGGAAGGGAATAGCCCTCAGACCCCTTTCTCCTCTCATACAGCCCTTGTGTGCCCTGTGGTGGGGATGTGCAGGGGATGTCCTGGGGCAGACGCTTTTCTCTCCAGTAGCTCTCAAGTTGCAGACTGTGGCCAGCAGTGGTCAGACACCTAGGAGCTTCCTCCCGTCCTTCTCCCCAGTGTCCCCCTTTATCTCTTTTTTCTAAGCCTTTTTTATAGAGTACATTCGTAGGAGAGTAGGAACACCTTGTTTGTCCACATGGAGTAGCAGAGATGAAAGACACTAAAGTGTACACTAGGCTGTGGGGTAGGTACAGGTGGAGGGCAAGAGGAAAATGGCCTTGCAGCCGGCAGCCCTGAAGTTGAATGAGTGGAGCTTTTAGAGGAGAGGACTGGAGTGTACTTGGGCTTAGTCTTTGGGGCCCACATTCAGTAGGGGCTCGCTGCCCTGATAAGATCGTCCTGTCTGGCCCCACCTGTCCATCTGACAGTGAATTCAAAGACATAAGGTGTGTCTCCTCTGAATAAGAGGGTCTTTTTTGTTAAGAGCTGCCTTATAAGGGATGAAGAGATGATTTAGGAAGCGCTGCCCCTCCTGCAGGAATTTGGGAAGGTGCCTGAGTCTGAGGTGGCTCTAAGTGCAGAAATAGCAGGTGAACAAGGAAGCCCCTCCTGTACCATCCCCTGGTTCCCCAGCGCCTGGCATGGTGTCTTGCGGGGGCTTCATAAGTAATTGTGCTGAGGTGAGTGCCCCCAGGTTCTCACCCTGAAAGTGGGTGGGGTGGGTGTTCTGGGCCTTTGATGGTGCCCCACCCACCCCTAATGGCCTTGAGTTCTCTTGCCTGAGGGCTACAGAGAATGCTCAGTGGGACCATGGGGTGACCTGACTTCCTTGTAAGAGTTAAATTACCTTCATACTTCTGAAAGCCACCAAACAACATTGCTCACTGTTCAGAAAGAACATGGGCATTTCTCTGAGTTAGAAATCTAAGACAGGCTGTCCTGGCTTCAGGGAAAGAGTGTCAGGCTGAGAGGCAGGTCCCACTTGCCTGGACCCCAGAGATACTTGGTTCAGGCTTCTTTTTTTTTTTTTTTTTTTTTTTTTCTCTTTTTGTCTTTTTTCGTGACCGGCAACTGTAGCAGTGCACCACCGGGCCGGCCCTTGGTTCAGGCTTCTGGCTGTGGGAAGGATACTCTTAGCTCATGAGACTTTGTCTCCTGTTTTTCTCTGGGGGCTGATGTGAGTTGTCTGGGTCCGGGACTGGCTTCAGGCAAGGGGTTAGGTGGACTGAGAATGGGAGGTATCAAATTGTCTTAGGCATCTTATTCTTTAAAAAGAGATGGAAGAGATGGCACCTGTTGACTACAGACTTACCTGCAGCCTTCAGACTGTTGGCCCTGTCCCCTCACCTGGAATACAGTCCTACTGCCTGGAGCAGGGTATCCCTGGCCTCACTTCACGGCATTCCCTGTTCCTCATCTCTCCTTCTCCCCTTCTGCCCTTTCTCCCTCCCTCTCATCATTTAAAAAAATTTATCTTAAGTATTTAAATAGTTAATTATTTAGTGATGTTTCATTCCAAAAAATGATTGTGGCTGCTTCCTCGAGTGTGTGTGGTGCAGAAAGCCACTCACTCCCACGTGTGCGTTTGCAGTTTCCCCTGTGGAAGACCAGCCACACGCTCAAGTGGGAAGGCGTGTGGCGAGAGCTGGGCTGCCTCTCCAGGACTGCGTCGTTTGCTGTTCGAAAAGAAAGCGGACATTCACTTAAGTCATCTCTTTCGGTAAGGACTTTTTTTGTTGAAGTAAATAAGTTTGTTGATCGGCCAGCTGTCTTTGCCACCATCCGGGCTGATTGAGAAGTGTCACAGAGATCGGGTGGCTGAAACAGTGGCTCTTGGCTCTCTGTGAGTCATGGTACACTGCCTTGTGTTATTTTTTCTAAATCACATAAGCAATAATGGGTAAAGGTGTGTTTAAGAACTGACCATGGAATTCCAGCTTTCAAAAATAATTAGGAAGCTGGCTGAGTTGACTTAGGCCAAGGTGGCGAGTTCCTTGAGAGAATGACCCAGGGTCATAAACGCCACGGGACGAAGGGGGTTGTTTATTCATGTGAACCACAATGCCTTACTCTCACGCACCGCCCATGCCTCAGCGTCCTCTTATGCGAGTGTACTTCAAAAAGTTTGTGGAAAGATCTATGTTATCTTTCAATTCTATTTTTGCATGAACTTTTTTTTTTTTTTTTTTGTCTTTTGTCTTTTTTCCGTGTCCGGCAACGGATCGCAACCCTCAGTGTTGCCCCCGTACCGGACCGGGGACCGGCAACGGGATCGCAAGCCTCGGCGCTGCTCCTGTGCCTCGCTCAGCCAGTGAGCGGGAGCCGGTCTGTATGTGGGATCCGAACCCTCGGACGGGAGCGCCGCCGCGCTTCCCAAGCGGCGCACCATCCAGTGCGCCAGCGGGCCGGCCCCCTTTCCATGAACTTTTTTTTTTTTTTTGTCTTTTGTCTTTTTTCCGTGTCCGGCAACGGATCGCACCCCTCAGTGTTGCCCCCGTACCGGACCGGGGACCGGCAACGGGATCGCAAGCCTCGGCGCTGCTCCTGTGCCTCGCTCAGCCAGTGAGCGGGAGCCGGTCTGTATGTGGGATCCGAACCCTCGGACGGGAGCGCCGCCGCGCTTCCCAAGCGGCGCACTATCCAGTGCGCCACCGGGCCGGCCCCTTGCATGAACTTTTTGAAGTACCTTCATATAAGCCAGGTATAATTCTACCTTCCTCCTACGGTTTCTGTAAAGATGAAGCATTTAATCATGGTAAAGTGCTTGTTAGCACAGGCCTAGCATACAGTGAGTGCTCAATTAGCATTTGTTGTTATTTTATAGAACTACTTGAAGTGAAAAACTCCTAAACAAATTTCTTTCAGCATGCCATGGTCATTGACTCTCGGAATTCTTCCATCTTACCAAGAAGAGGTGCTTTGCTGAAAGTTAACCAGGTACTGTTCTTTCACCTAAACTCTGTAGGGTGGAGGGGAGCCAAGCTTTTGACAGTAGATAGTCTCGGCAGGCTGGGTGACCCTAGGAGCATGGGGAGTCACACAGAGCATCAACATTTTTAATACCAAACTTTTCCCTTTAATTGTAAACATCACTCTAGAATCGCTTGCAAGGATTGTCAGCTCTGTGCTCAGGGCTCCTGGCCCTGGAATTGTGTGCTGCTCCCTGCACTTCATTCTTGTGCCTTCACAGAGCCCAGTGGCATCTTTGATGGTGACACATAACAGGCCAGGAGGAGAGTTGTGATTCCGTGCATAGGGTTTCCTTGGTTACCCGTGAAAGAACACCTGAAGACAGAGACCATAACTCCTACACCTGCAGGGGCCAGGCAGGGGATGGCAGTGAGAGATGCTGGCGCTCTTTGCCTGGTGCCTGTGGAGGAATAGTCTTCATCGCCTTAAAGAAATGTGCCCCTCAAGTGGTTCTGGAAGCATGCTTTTAGTTTGTCCTTCCCTTTCCCTCTTTTTTTTTAAGCCAATGAAAGTATCCTTTAGTTCACCTCTACTGTAATGAGGATTCACCTCTGGTATTGTGACTCTTTTTTTCCTTTTCTTTTTCCCAATTTTATTCATATTTATTTTTGTGGGATACACTGTGTTGTTTCAGTTCATGCATATACTGCACAGTGATTCACTTAGGGTAGATGGCATAGTAACCTCTCAGTTCACCCCTTCTCCTCTCCTCCACCCCTCTCCCCTCCCAGCCTCTGGTAACCATTATTCTACTCTCTACTTCCGTGACAACCACGTTTTTTTTTTTTTTTTTTTTTAGATTTCACATATGAGTGAGACCATGTGGTATTTGTCCTTCTGTGCCTGATTTACTTCACTTAACATGATCGTTTCCAGTTCCATCCATGTTGCTGCAAATGATAGGATATCATATCTTTTTATAGCTGAATAGTATTCCATTGTGTGCATATACCACAGCTTTGTTATCCATTCATCTGTTGATGGGCATTCTGGTTGATTCCCTCTCTTGACTATTGTGAGTAGTGTTTTGATGAACGTGGGAGTGCAGGTGTCTTTTTGATATATTGATCGCATTCCCTTTGGGCATATGCCAGTAGTGGGATAGCTGGGTCATAAGGGAGATCTATCTTTAGTTCTCTGCGGAACCTCCGAACTGTTTTCCATAATGGCTGGAGCAATTTTCATTTTCACCAGCAGTGTAGGAGGGCGCCCTTTTCTCTGCATTCTCGCCAGCATTTGTTGTTTTCTGTCTTATTGATAACAGCCATTCTAACTGGGGTGAGAAGATATCATTGTGGTTTTAATTTGCATTTCTGTGATGATTAGTGATTTTGAGCATTTTTTCATGTACCTTTTGGCCATTTGTATGTCATCTTTTGAAAAATGTCTATTCAGGTTCTTTGTTCATATTTTAATTGGGTTTTTTTTTTTTTTTTGCTGTTGAATTGTTTGAGTTTCTTATATGTTCTGGATATAAGCCCAAGATGTGTAGTTTGCATACACTTTCTCCCAATCTGTAGGTTTCTCTTTACTTTGTTGATAGTGTCTCTGGATGTAGTCCCATTTGTGTATTCTTGGCTTTAGTAGCCTGTTCCTTGTGGTCTTGTTCAAAAAAGCACTGCCCACTCCCATTTCATGTAATGTTTCCCATATGTTTTCTTCTAGTAATTTCATAGTTTGGGGTCTTAAATTTAGGTCCTTAATCCATTTTGAGGTGATTTTGTGTATGGTTAGAGAGAGGGGTCTAGTTTCAATCTTCTGCATATGGATATCCACTTTTCCCAGCACCAGTTATCCAAGAGGCTGTCCTTTCCCCTCCATATATTCTTGGCACCTTTGTCAAAAACCAGTTGGCTCTTAGTGCGTGGTTTTGTTTCTGGGCTCTCTATTCTGTTCTCTTGGTTTGTTTGTCTATTTTATGCCAGTATCATGCTTTTTTTGGTTATTATAGCTTTATTGTATATTTTGAAGTCAGGAAATGTGATGCCTCCAACTTCATTCTTTTTGTCCAAGGTTGCTTTAGCTATACAGGGTCTTTTGTGGATCCATACAAATCTTAAGATTGTTTTTTCTATTTCTGTGAAGAATATCATTGGTATTTTGATAGAGAGTGCATTGAATGTGTAGATTGCTTTGGGTAATATGGACTTTATTTTTGGTGGCTGGTTGGTATGGGGATCTGAACCCTTGACTTTGGTGTTAACAGCACCATGTTCTCCCAATTGAGCTAACCAGCCAGCCCTAATATGGACGTTTTGATGATATTAATTCTTCCAACCCATGAACATGGTTTATCTTTCCATTTATTTGTGTCCTCTTCAGTTTTTTTCAACAATGTTTTGTAGTTTTCATTGTAGAGGTTTTTCACCTTGGTTAAATTTACTCCTAGGTACTTCATTTTTTTTGGTGGCTATTGTGATTGGGGTTACTCTTTTGATTTCTTCTTCAGCTGTTTTGTTGTTGGTGATTACTCTTTAGTCTCATTACTTGTTTTTGATCTGTCTAGGTTTTCTAGTTCTTCATGGTTCAACCTTGGCAAGTTGTATGTATCCAGGAATTTATCCATTTCTTCTAGGTTTTCCAGTTTGTTTGCATATAATTGTTCATAGTAGTCTCTTATGATCCTTTGTATTTCTGTGGTATCATTTGTAATGTCTCCTTTTTCATTTCTGATTTTATTTGAGTCTTCTCTTTTTTCTTCATCAGTCTAACTAAAGGTTTATCAATTTCATTTGTCTTTTCGAAAAAACCAAATCTGTTTCATTGATCTTTTGTATGTTTTAAAAATTTCTAATTCATTTATATCTGCTCTGATCTTTTATTATTTCTCTCCTTCTACTGATTTGGGGTTTGGTTTGTTCTTGATTTTCTCTTCCTTGAGGTGTAATGTTACATTGTTTATTTGAAGTCTTTCTTTTTTGACATAGGTATTTATTGCTATAAACTTCCCTCTTAGAACTGCTTTAGCTATATCCCATAGGCTCTGGTATGTTGTGTTTTCATTTGCATTTGTCTCCAGGAATGTTTTAATTTCCTTCCTGATTTCTTCTTGGACCCATTCATTTGTTTAGGAACATGTTGCTTAACTCATTAGTAAAGTAAGTTCATAGACAACCTCAGAATACTCCTGTGTCATAAGGGGGGTGAATAAACCGCTTACATCCTTCCTATGAAGACTAAAGAACAAACTTAACAAGACAACAACAGATACAACAACCATATAAGATGCAGGCAATATTAAAAGATGTAACTTGAAACAACAAAATGTCAAAATGTGGGGGGGGGGAGTGCCAAAGTGTAGAGTTGGTTCTTTGTTTTTTCTTATATATCAAAGTTAAGTTGTTATTAGTCTAAAATAGTCTAACTGTAACATGTTTTCTGTAAGCTTCATGGTAGCCATAACACAAAAACTTATGAGACATACTGAAAGTAAATAGCAAGAAATCAAAATACACTGCCAGAGAAAACCACTCAAACCACAAAGAAAGACAGTAAGATCAGAAAAAGGAAAAAAGGATTAACAAAACAACTAGAAAAAAATAACAGAATGGCAGTAACAAGTCCCTATATATCAATAATAACTCTAAATATAAATGGATTAAATGCCCCAATTAAAAGACAGCAAGCGGCTGAATGGATTATAAAACAAGAACTAACAACATGCTGCCTACAAGAAACTCACTTCACCTATAAAACACACACCAGCTGAAAGTGAAGTGGTGGAAAAAGACATTTTGTGCAAATGGAAACAAAAAAAACAACAGGAGTAGCTATACTTATATCAGGCTAAGTAGACTTCAAGCCAAGGAAAGTAAAAAAAAGATAGGGAAGGTCATTATATAATGATAAAGGGATCAGTTCAGCAAGAGGATATAACAATTCCAAATACATACACACCTAACTCTGGAGCACCCCATTATATAAAGCAATTACTATTAGACCTAATGGAAGAAATAGACTCCAACACAATAATAGTTGGGGACTTTAACACCTCACTTTCAGCAAAGGACAGATCATCCAGACAGAAAATTAACCAGGAGACATCAGAATTAATCTACTCTAGGCCTGTTGAACTTAATGGACATTTATAGAACATTTAATCCAATAGCTGCGGAATACACATTCTTCTGAGCAGCACATGGAACATTCCCTAGAATAGACCTTATGTTAGGTCACAAAACAAGCCTCAACAAATTTTAAAAAATTGAAATCATACCAGCTACCTTGTCAGACCACAATGGAATAAAACTAGAAATCAACAACAAAAGGGACACTAGAAACTGTACAAATACCTGGAACTCCCTTTCCCTCTTTTGCTGGAGGTAGGGGAACAGAGACATGGTTCTCTGTTATGAGATCACTAACAGTGCAAGCACACGAGGCGCTTACCTCGGGCAGCGGACAGCTGAGGGGTGCCCAGGCTGTGATGATCTTGAGGTCTTCCCAGGTACCTTCCCTCGCTCCGGCCGATGGTTGTCAGTTGTCACGCAGGGCAGAGGCCTGGGGCGCTTCATCTTCAGTTAGGGAGAAGCTGGAAATCAGATTTTTACACATGTCGTAACTTATGAAAGAAGGTTAGCTAGTTTTTTCCTCCAAACCCTGATTAGGTCAACAAGCCATATCCACTGCCAGCTCTGTGGTAAATGCTCGTGTTGCTGTGTTTCTCTGGCATGAAGGAGAAATGTACTCCGGGTCATTCGGTACCGTTGATGATTCTCCAATCTCTGCCAGTGCATTGTTACTATCTGTAACAATTAGGATACCGCTTCTAGGAGACAGAATGTACTGTTGCCTTTTAAAAAATATAAAACAGCAAAATTAAATTGCAACTGCCAAAGCATTATCTTGTTCCCCTTGTAATATGGCTATTTGCTCTAATTGACCTGTGGATTCTTCCCCCACAGGAACTGGCAGGCTACACCGGTGGGGATGTGAGCTTCCTAAAGGAAGATTTTGAGCTTCAGCTAAATAAACAACTTGTATTTGATTCAGTGAGTATCTAGCCAGAACCTTGTCACCTGCGTTGCTATCCCTTGTGTTTGGAATCTTCTTGAAAATCTTAGTCCTGAATATCTGGCACTAAAATGGAAGCACAGAGCAGTGATGCTTTGACCTGAAGTGCATATCTTTTCAATTTAGCCAGAATTGAAGACACTCTGAGGAGGAGCAGGAATTATTTTCTTTTAAAAAGAACCTGGGACCACATGGGACACAAAAGAGTCCCTTCCCTCCTATCATCTCAGGGCCTTCAAAGAAATGTGGCTCAAGGATGTATGAGGGTCTCTTTTCCCTTGAAGTGTTGGTTCAATGGAAATTCTCAGCTTCACCTTATTTTGCTGGGTCTACGGGGCTCTGGGTGCTACCGGGCATTTCTAAAATCTTTAATCCAGTTTGGTTAATTTCTTCTGATTCACTCAGGACATGAGTAAGTTATGGGATTGGGATCTAGCCAAGGCAGCCCCAGGCTGGGAGAATTCCTGTCTGGTTTCTTAAGACTCCCAGTGCCCAGGGTGTCTGGCGGCAGCTCTCAGCCTACTGCTACTGCCTGTGCCCTGATCTACCTTAAAATGTGAGGGCAGGGCTTGCCCAGTTAGCTCAGTTAGTTAGAGCATGGTGCATACAACAGCGAGGTCCAGGGTTCGATCCCTGTACCAGCTGGCTACACCTCCCACCTCACCCCCCGCCCCCC